TGCTTATATTTTATGTTCATTCATTTTCCTTTTGGACCTTTTCAGAATATATTTTAGCTTATCCATATTTTATATTTAACCTAAATTTTTGTGCAATAAAATTTATAATTTCTCTTGCACATCATTTTTTGCACAAGCTCCTTATTTAAATTTAATTGCACACTTGTGCATATATACAGTCGTCCTCCCATACAATCACACAGTTGGGCACATAGTAACTTTTTTTAAAAATGTGCTTATAAAGAGGTTGTGCTTATATGGAGGTATTTTTCTTATAAATTAAATTATAGTTTGGCCTAAATAAAAATGTGATTACTTATGATGTGATTATATGGGAGGTGACTATATGGAAGGACGACTGTATTTAGAACTTCTTTTGTACAAAAAAAAATCTACTTGCACATGTGCATCTTGTGCAAGCCAATTTTAAACCCTGGTCATATGTAAACCATAAAAAATTATTAAACTTGCATAATATAACTTTTGATTAGAATTATATAACTGGTTATGCTTCATTTAATGAGCTAATAAAAGTTTTTTGCCAAAATGTAGATTCCTCCTTTCTACTGAACAGCGCCCATATTATCTAATAAATAAAGAAGTCTATTATTCATAATTTTGGTTATATTTGCAGATTATTTAGACAGATCTAGAACAAACAATTTTAATTTGAGTTGATGAATAATCAAATAAATGGCTTAATATTTAACCAATAAATATTTAACTTACATATTTAATAAAAATAAAAATTTAATAGTTGTATTTTTCTATTGATTGATATTAATAAGAAAATAAGAAATAAAGATCTTATTTTTTGTAATTATCAAAAAAAAAGAAGTATAGAATTCGTTAGGGAGTTCAATAAACTAATTAATCAAAACATAGTCAGGGTCATTAAGTTCAGATTTTTAAAGAGTTATTTTACATATAAATTTATATATGAATTTGTACTAATTTACATTTTCTACATAGCTAACAGACAAAATTGTACCATATTTTTTTTTAAACTGTAGTTCTAGACTAGTTCTATACTGTAACAGAACTGGGTTTTTTTAATAACCTATGTTAATTATTAATAAAATTAATCCAAAATTTTATTAAAAGTTATTGAAAACCCAGTTTTGTTACAGTGTAGAGCTAGTCTAAACTACAGTTTAAAAAAAAAAAACATATAATTTTATTTATTGGTTGTGTAAAAAAATGTACCTAAATTAGTACAAATTTATAAGTGAAATAACCCTTTAAAAAATCTGAAATTAATAATTATCATATATGACCCTAACTAAGTTTTTATCAATTAGTTTATTAAACACCCTAAGGATTTGTAGTATCAAACTCAGCATTTTTAAATACCGAATAGAGCATATTAAAGTAACTATTTATTCTTAATTGTATAAATAATATATTGATGAAAATTTGATTAAAAAACTAATTCAAAAATCATGATTGATTGACTAAATAAAGATATATTAGTACAATAGTTGCCATTTTGCGCCACTTGTCTTATTTAATATTTTTTTATCATTATTAATCATAAAAAATTTCTATTATAGAACTTAGTATAGTTGTTAAACGAAACCTCGAGGATTCGCACTGACGAAAGTCAAAACCTAGTTTCAACTTTTGTCAATTAAAATCTCAAATAGCAAAATGTCAAAACTGTCGAAAGGTGTCGAAACTGACGAAAGGTGTTGAAACTATTGAAAGGTGTCAAAACTGGCAAAAGATGTCAAAACTGGCAAAAGGTGACAAAAGGTAAAGAAATTGACAAAACTACAAAGATGACAAAACTAATAGATAATGATGAAGCAGATAAATGTTATTGAAGATAATGTGAATAAAAATAAATTGCGAAAACATAAAGTTATAATTACTAAAATTTTTTATATAATAAACAAGTATAAGTAAGGGCACCTTGGCTTTTTATATTTTTTGTTCTTTTTTGCATAATGACGAAAGACGAAAGTCGAAACCCCAAATTCTTCTAACGAAAGATGAAGCTTTAAACTTAAAATGATGAAACCTTACACTCAAAAAGACAAGACCCTAGTGCTCCCTTTATAAAAAAAAAACTTGTTATTTTCATTGAATTAACTTTCATAAATTATTCAAAGATCAGTATCCGAAGTTATATATATGCTAGCAAAAATAAACCAGTTCACTTTTTCTGGACAACACCAGGGTTATAGACCAGTTGAAATAACCTTATCAAAAAGCCATAGTACTTACTCATGAAATAATACAAATAATGAATTAAAAAATATTGGTACAAAATAAATATGAATTAAAAAAATATTGGTACAAAATAAATTTGTAAAATCATAAAGTAAGCATCAAGCAATTTCTCACTAGAACTGATACGTAATGTACTAGTATAATACATTATAGAATATTTGTTTATAACTCCCTTTAAATAATTCAAATGCCTATTATACAATAAAATTTTTTGTAATTTTTTATTAGTTTATTTTTTTATACATATAATAAATAATTTTCAGCAACATTTATTTGTATATTTGTCTGTCACCCTTTATAGTTTTGTCATTTTTCGTCAGTTTTGTCATTTTTGTAAAGATTTTAATTGTAAAGATGAAACTAGGTTTCGCATTCATCATTTTGTTAAGATTTTAATTGTAAAGACGAAACTAGATTTTGCGTTTCATTAGCCGGTACTTCGAAGTTTCATTTAACAACTATATAAAGGGCTATATAATTTATACTTAGATTAGTTTTAGTAAGAAGCTTAATAAGCAACTTAATAAAAAGGATTTATTAATTAAGTAAATTATCACAAAATAAGAAATTAATAATAAACAGATTATTTTACATATTTCAGTATTTTAATTAAAAAATAATTATTGCCTATTGGCTAACTTGACTTGAATAAAAGACAAATTAGCACAGATAATAAATTAATAAGAGGTGCATATATTGTTTATTATAACTATTGTTATACTTGCTAGTTAAATTAATCTAAATAAAAAGATATCGGTATTATTTCACCGACAATCACTTTATAGACACTATTTCATGACAATTATTTATTGACAAGTTCATTTTACCAACAGTCTATTCTACTAAAGCTCTTTCACTAACAGGACAAACTTTTTAAAATGAGCTTCAGTAAAATAGGCTGTCAGTAAAATGAGCTTGTTGGTGGTGAAATGTGGTTCTATGAGTTGATAAGTTGATTGTCAGTAAAAAGTGGCCTATTGGGAAGTTAACAAGAAACATGAATTATAATGTGTTATTATCAATTTTCTAAAAATTACAGAGTAGCAAAAACATTTTTACTGCTATATTTTAGATTATACTTTAAATTAAAATTTAAAATTTAAAATATTTTAATATTAAAAAAAATTTATATAAATAGAAAAAAAAAATACTTATATAACTTAATTCTCTATATTTATATTTATTTATTTAAATATTCAGAGGTGTTAATAGCTTATTTGCCCATTTATAATTTCTGTTTTTAAAAACTAAATATACAAGTCACATCAAGCCAATAAACTGCTTCAGAATTAAATATATAAATAAAAAGAAAGCCTCAATAAATATAACTTTGCTAAAAATTGATTTTCATTAAATTTTTTAGTGGAAGCACCAGAATTTGTTAAGAGTTTCGGTAATAACAGGGTTTTCTAGTAGGTTTACTTTTTTTTTATTTTTATTATTTTTTTTTTTAGCAGAAGTACTAGGGTTTCGTCAAGTTAAATTTGGGGTTTCGACTTTCATCAGAAGGATTTGAGTGTTTCGACTTTTGTCAGAAGAATTTGAGGTTTCAACTTTCGGCAGAGGTTTTGTCATTTAGGGCTCAGGTTTCGACTTTCGTTATCAAGCAAAAATGGTTTCGTCTAATAACTATAAAACTTAGCAATTTTTGCAATACACATAGCTCGCATCAGAATTGTCATGATTTCTATCATAAGCTACTGTAAAAAATTTTTAATCCACAAAATTCTTGATAGATGCTGAATATTTGAATTTAGCAATATAGTATAATAGATAGCCTTGCCAAAAATCATAATTTCCAAATATACCTTAATCAGGGTTGTGAATAAAAATAGTTTACAGCCATTTTCAAAAATATGTGAACAACTAATTCTATATACCTATGTGGGAAATTGAAGAATTTGGAAATTTAGATTAGTAAAAATTAAACTTCAGGTCCTGAAGCTTCAGAAATCTGGGAAATATTGTGTACTCCCAATGATATAGTGGTCTGCGACTATTTACACCTTTTTGAAAACAGCTATAACCAAAATGTTATTGTCTAATTGCCTAATGGTCTAATTGCCTAATTGCCTAATGACCTAATTGTCTTATGTCTATTCAATTTGGTTGAATAGGCAGTGTCTATATAATTAGCCAATATGTCTATTCATAAATTATCTATTGTCTATTGGTTTAATTTACAAATTATATAAGAAAAATAATATAATTAGCACTAATAAATTATTAATTCTAAAAACTCACAATAGCCCTTGTATTAGATTTAAGATTATTTAACAACCTTGGAGAATTTAGGTATATCAATATAGAATGTAATTGAAACTGTTTAACCGAATAAATTTTTTTGTAATTCTGGGACAAATAATGTTGATCATAGGCCAGGATTATCTTAATGCTAAATAAATTAAATATTTAAATGTTTAAATAGTTATATTTTTAAACAATCAGAAAAATTTTTAAGTAGTTCCAATCCTATTAGCAATTAACTAAAATAAAAAGTATACTGTAATATAGTTTAAAAGAAGTATAAAAAAGTTTAAGAGAAATAGCTTAAATAATATAATTGAATATAATATAAAAAGAAGATATAATAAACAAAGAAAGCAAGTAGTTTTGTTTAAAAAACACATTACTGCGCTTTTCAAATTACTGTGTTCATCAAATTTCATGCATCACATATCACACAGGAACCTGGGAATCTGGAATCCTAATTTAAAATTTAAACGCCACTGCAGATGCAGCCAACACCAAACTTAAATATTACTATGGCACCTGTTTTGGGTGTCGAAAGTGTCTGTACTGTGCAGTTGATTTAAAAATACTACTTGCAAATGTAAATTATCCTTAGTGCCCACAAAAAAAAATCGAACGGATTTAGTAAAACAAGCGTATACACGCATCTATGAACCTACCTGGGCAGCACCCATGTTTGAATATATTTATAGAAATGTTATGGAATATAATTACCAAATAAATTTGAAAAAAACTTTTTAGTTTTCTTTTTGTGAACGATAGCACAATGTTTTGGTGAAATTGAATTCCAAAGCTAAAAAAAAGAAACCAAAAAATGGAATTGATAACAATGTATGTGTAATATAATCTTTTATTATATAATTATCTAATTTATTAATCCTTTGTTTATAGGAAATAACTAGGTCACCTTCTCTGTCAATATCCATTGCAGCAAGTAAAGATAGAATCAACAAAAATGAAATGAGTAGTGAGGATGAGAATGATGAATCCGAGTTTGCATTAGCTTATAAATTATTTGTTAAAATAGCTGATAGAATTTTATTACCTGCTAAATGGTTTCAAGAATCCATATCAACAGTTGATGAATTTCTTTTATCCGTTCACAATAAAATTCACTTGGTGACAAAGGATAATACTATTATGCCAAGTGATTACTTTATGACATTTAAAACACAAAGAAAAACAGGTGCCAGCACTCAGTTGGTCAATGAACAAGACTTCATCAAGTTCAAATTGGAATATACAAAATTAGCTACTAGAAAAAGTGATATTGGGATTTATGTTACAATTTCACAACCCTCTATCACTATTTCTCAAAATAAGCAAAAAAAAAAGGTAAATACACGTACATACGTACACGAATATGCATGTTTATTTGTATTATCTGGATATTTACTAAATTTGTTCATTAATTTGGTATGTATTGATTATAATATAAACTATAATATGATTTTGCAGGAATCAGATTTAAATGAACATGAAAAAAATACTGAACAATCTAACAATTACAAGAATAATAATCGAGTCCCAAGTGTTTCATCTTTATCTGTATATGATAAGGAAATTGCCAAAAACATGTTAACAATTAGAAATGCATACTACTTAATGTGCATAATCATCCCTACCTTAATAAAGAAAATTACAAAGATTTGTATATTGAGATTATATTTATGATGCTAGTGTTCCTAATGAACCTATGTTCAAAGTTCATGAACATGTTCAAAGTTTTGAATAAAGAAAAAAGCATATAATCACAAAGATAAAAATACTTATAT